AATGACATGAGACAAAGTATATGTGAACTGCTGTATGAAAAGTGAATTTACTCTGTAAATCTTCACCCAAATCCTAATAAAAAAAAAAAGAATAAAAAAAACTCCCTGTGAAGCAGTTACCTCGGGCAAACTGACAGGAGGAGGCAGGGCCTCATCCTCTCCCCACCAAGAAACCCACCCGTTAGGAGGAATATGGTTTTTAACAAATCTGTCAATACTGAAAAATATGACACAAGATTGATCAAGGGTTGTTCATTGTTGAAGCTAGGGGACAAGTACATGGGGGTCCTGAACATCTCTGAAAATTTCCAAAATAGAAAACAAATAAAAAATCTGTCCAGTGAAGGCTTTGGGCTCCCTCAAATTAGTCTCTCCCTACATGTCTTCTTTTTGTAAGGGAAGAGCCACCGAAAATAAACCAACCCCAGGGCTCGCAGCCCTTAAAGAGCCCAGCCTTTCACTGGCCCTGGCTACTGGAAAGCACAGGAAGGACTGGCTGGGGCTGCGGTTCCCTGGCTGACCCGGGCCAAGGCCTGCCTGACAAGTGCCAAGGTGAAGCTTCTATTGTAAAGCTCTTCAAGCTCCCTGGGGAAATGGTGGAAAGCACCAGAACGTCCCAGGACAGACTTACCAATGTCTGAGCTGGCAGCTACCAGGACACTGCCTCCTCCGTCAATAAAGGCACTGATGGTCTCCACATTGATGTTACCCCCAAAATCTGAAAAAAGGCACCAGACATGATGACTCTGTAAGAATTCTCTCTGCTCCTCTGACATTTGAGGGGGAAGGTGAGCTGACAGCCCCACACTCGATCACAGAGCAGCACCCTCTGGAGGCCCAAAACAAGAGGGGTGAGTACCACATGTGCCTTGATAAAAGGCAGTTCCCCATTTTCCCACGGTACAGATCCAAAAACAATGGCTCGAACCTATAAACTTTTACAGGTATAGATTAAATAGTCAAACATCTAATGATTCCATCTGCCATGTTAGTTACACATGTTTAATATCACATGTAAATACCAATTTAGAACTGTAGCATATTCCCACTCACATTTCATGAAACAATTTTATTCAAATAAAAGATACAGCAGCATCTCTGTCATCACTAGAGCTACTGCCTGGATCACCTAACAGTTTTCCAGAGTCTATCCACTTCACTTCCGTCCGAGTGGCTTGTGAAACAGCATTTTTAATCTGTGGACGATGCTGTCACTTGATACTAGTACATACTTGCGTATCATTAGTAGAGTTTTTTCCCCCCCACCATTAACCCTATACCTGTACCCATGACACCCATAACACAACCACTCAGTACACTGCTTTGTAAAAAAAAAAAAAAAATGGGGGGGCACACATTCATTTCCAGTGTTTGTAATTGTGAGATTATTCCCTTTTTGGTCAATCAGTTCGGTCAGGTGACTGCTACCAGCACCTAAAACTAGCAGTGAGTGGGGCTGTTTTCCCCAACTGCACCTTGATAGTCAATATAAAGTAATGGAGGAGAGTGACAAGCTTCATTAAGTGAGTAATTATGTGTTGTGCACTGAGAAGAAAAAGAGGACAATGAAAGGGGGCAGCTATTATACAAAGACTGGTCAGAGAAGACCTCAGAGAAGTGACATCTGAGAAGACACGAGAGCAAGCCAGGCACCATGCCGGTGGGAGCCCTGCAGATGGAGAACAGGAGCAAGGGCCCTGGGTTAAGCATGTTCAGAGCAAAGAGCCAGCGGGGTTCTGCTGCAACAGGCGAGGGGCGGGCAGCAGATGAGGCTGCAAGGACAGTTCACGGAGGGTTCTGTAGGCCACGGGAAGCCACTGGAGGATCTGAACAAGAGAGTGGCATGAGCTAACTTATCTCTTCAAAGGATGACTCTGGCTGCTGGGCAGAAGCAGAGTGACTGGCAGGTTAGCAGCTACTAGGCCAAGGCAGGCACCTCAACCACATGTGTCAGTGGAGGCTTGTGTGTTGCGATGATGCTGCAAAGGTGTCAGTGGAGCTTCCAGATTAAGATAAACAACCAAGAAAGGCCTGGCAAACTACTCCTGAAAATCAGCCAGTGAAAACCCTATGGATCACAAGGGTCTGACTGATGCGGGGTCATGGGGGTGGTGAAGGACCAGTCAGCATCTCATTCCATCACGCACGCACGGAGTCAGCATGAGTTGCGGGTCAACTCAGCAACTAGCAACTACGAGACAGATGCAGTGGTGGAGGGGAGGGGAGAAGAGGCGGGGTTCCACTCAGACTCACTGATGGCCCGTATGTGGGATATGAGAGGAAGACAGGCATTAAGGACCGCTCCAAGTTTCTGGCCTGAGCAACTAGAAGGATCAAAGTGCCATTTACTGAGATTGGATGCAGAAGTCTGTCTGTCTCACATGCAGTAGGCAGCTGGAAATGAGTCCATAGGACTCTGTAAAATCTGAATATGAGAATAACCCTCTTTTCTTAGGGGTGACTTTTAAGAAAAACAAAAAAAGCACCTGTCTTTCAGCCAGACACAGAAAATCTCCTATCTGGGGACTCTTATGCGGCTTTTTGAAATCAACTTATCCACTCTCCTACAGAAAGGCCAGACAGAAATCTTACAAATTCAGATTGGCTTCTTGGTATAGCACACTGGCTCTCCACTGGAAACATTTCTGGTTGTCACAGAAGAGCATAGGGAGCTGGTGGCTTCTGGTAGCTAATGGCCAGAGGACAGGGAGGCTGCTAAACAGCCTGCAGTGCACAGCACAGCCCCCAATAAAGAACTATTGGTCCAAATGTCAACGGTGCTGCTGTTGAGAAACAGATACAAGTGAACGGACACAGGCTTTGAAATTAAAAACACTTGGGGTTAAATCCAGGCAAATCCTTTCAGCACTCTGAGCCCACGTCCCCATCGGTAAAACAGGAATCCAGTTTCTGGCTGGTATGGAGGATGTGCTACTGATCCCGTCCCCCGCAGCCATTAATGCAGGTGACATGGGAGTCTACTGATCCCAGAGAAGGCAAGGAACCTACTGACACCTGGAAGCCAGGCTAGCCCGTCACACTGAGAGCCCTCACTGGGCTAAAGGTAGTCACAGTAACACAGCAGGGCCCTACCCTAAGCCTCTCAGCACATACCACCTTCTGGAACCCCAGGAGTGCCCAAGAAAGGATTTCCCGAGGAAGCAGTTCCCACAGTGTGGGGTCCACTCTGCTGGGAGCACAAAAGACAGGATCAGTGATGCAGGGGGAGGGCTTCAAATACTGCAAAGTCCCAGAGAGAAGTACTCCCTTTCCAATTATTTTTCAGGCTTTCTCCATCAAAGAGAATGTCTGAGCTTGGAAAGTCCTCAACCTGCTCTAACGCTTGTATTCTCCTTTTGTAAGAGGAAGCCTCAGGGGAAAAAGCCTTCAGCAGGTAACAGCATCTCACTAGAATTTAACAACACTGTTTTCTTTTTACTGCAATTTTACACTAGTCTCAGTAAGTGACACTGGTTTTCCATTTACTATTGGTTGCCTTTTAAAACAAGCTTATTTTAGTTTTTTTTTTTTTAAGAGCAGGTCAAGTTGAAAAAAAAAATTACGTTAATTATTAGTAAATGTGATGTGGAATATGGCAAAAAAATCACAAAAAAGGTACCAAAACAGCTATCATTTGAGAAACACGGTTCTCATCTCTCCGACGTTTCTCCCCACCAAGAGCCTCTCAACCTTCTCCCAGCCAAACCAGCCAGAGACTCCTTCCTTCTCAGTGCCACTCCATGTCCCTCTCCTCAGCACACATGCACAGTTCCCCAGTTCATCTCATACATCCTGATGAAGGGTCTGGAGGCTCATTAAGTGTGTATTTTTCTCAGACTGACTAAACAAACTCCACAGGGGCAAGGTTGGTATCTTCGTCTCACCCAGTCCGCTGCTCAGCACCTATTTCAGAGTCCAAACACAGCAGAGATTTAGCAACCAGCTGATTTGCTGAAGACTCCATTCCCTGTCCAGTAATTTGAAGATCTGTGATCCTGCAATCTGGGATCACCTTTACCCAACACTACACTTCCCTCCAAAAAGCCAATTCCAAAGGCACATGTTGCAGGGAGTGGAGGGCACCATGTGGTAAGTAACAGGAACCAGGAACGAAGGGAAAAATGCTTCAGGGAGTTGGCTGCGCCCAATCTCATGGGAAACTACCAAGAACATGGGAGCTGCTGCTGAAGCACCAGATTTTCTGAGTGTCATCAGCTGAAAGGAGAACTGGAGTCCTGCTTCACCGCAACAAGGACAGAGTGAGAAGATAAACTGAAACAAATAAGGAAGGGAATGACTAGGGAACACACAAAAAAGGCAAGGCAATGAGAAGTAGTCAAAGAGACTGGGGAGATATAGTGTGAAGAAGAAATAACGGAATCGCTCTGTACATGCAGGCCGTGACTCTGAAGGAGCACTGGGGAGCAACGGTTAAGTGCTCAGCCGCTCACCAAAAGGGTGGAGGTTCGAACCCCCCAATGGCTGTGCAAGAGAAAGACCTGGTGACCTGCTCTCATGAAGATCATGGCCTGGAAAACCCTACGGGGCAATTCTACTGTCACACAGGGTCACTATGAGTTGAAATCAACTCGGTAGTACCTAACAACATGCCTCTAAGCAAAATAAACATTAGACTTATTCTCTAAGCCCAGAGAAAGAAACTCTTTCCACATGCCCCGCCAAAAAAAAAGTACGAGACAAATTTCAGTTTAATAGAAGAAAGAACTTCTTAACAAAGTTGTCCAATGGTGGAGTCAATTGCTTAAAATAACCGTAAGCTCTCCGTCACAGGAATTCTGAAGTATAAACTGGATAATCTGGTAAAGACATTATGTTCAACATCTATTTACATAAAACCAAAACCGACAAATTTACACAAGACTTACTAAATGCCAGCCTGTACTAGCCAGCCAGTCTCAGACGTGAGCTAGGGGTTTGGGGTGGTGTTCGACTTAGATAATTACCAAAAACCAAAAAACCAAACCCACTGCCATTGAGTCAATTCCAACTCATAGACACCCCTTTGGGTTTCCAAGGCAGTAAATCTTTATGGAAGTAGATTTCCCTGTCTTCCTTCCATGGAGTGGCTGGTGGGTTTGAATTGCCAACTTCAGGTTAGCAGACAAATGCCTTAGGCACTGTGCCACCAGAGCTCCTTAGATAATTGCGAAGGTTCTTTTTCAGCCTGAGTCTATGAATCTGTCTGAAATCTTAAGACCAACCCCCACAAAGACTCTCTACAGCAAACTACATTAATCACACTTCCATTTCCTCTTTAGACAGACAAACCCAACCAGGGAGCTGTCCTTCTTTACAGAGAAAACTCCCAATGGCAGTAAAGCAGCAGCAAGAGCAGCAGTCCTGGTTCCATGGTTTGTAGAAACACTTGATCCCCACAATCCTCAGCTGTGCCTCCTGGACCCAGGTTAGAAATAAGACATTTTCCTCTTCTCTGCCAGCAGCAGTCCTCAGACCTGACAACCCATCCAAGGGCCCAGAACATGTCCAAGAACCAATAGAAAGTGATCGATCAGTCCGGGGCTTCGAATCTCGGTTCTGGGAAGACGCGCGAGCCCTTACCTTCCACCGAGGGGGAGAAGATGATGAGATTGTCATAGAGAAACTCCCCATACTTAATGAGGGACAGGCTGGGGTCATCAGCTGTCTTGAATGTCAGTTCAAAACCCCGATCTGCAGAAGAAAACAACGACTGCGGCAGATAGAACACAAAGGAAACCCTGCTGCAGAGGCCAGACCTAGGAGGCCCGCTCGTGAAAATCGAATGGGAGGGAGGACAGCTGACGCCCTCGAGCTCGGGCGCCTTTCCAGCCCCAGACCCTCACCCGTCACCCCCTCGAACCCCGCTCTCACTCTTTAGACTTCGGAAGAAAAGCGAATGCGTCTCGCGCACGTTGAGGTTGTCCAGCAGCACCAAGGTGCGGGGACCACTGGCGCAGGCCGGACCAAGCAAGGACACCAATAGCCACAAGATGCACCATGCACGGGCCGCGGTGCCGGCCTCCATCTTCCTCTTCCTGCCAAAACGCCCAGCACCAGGGCACCGGAAGTGTCCCGTCCACGGTCGCCCAATCACGGCTCGCTGCCGTGGCGTTCCACCCGGAAGTGACCGGAAAACGCCAAGACCTGGAGTCCCGAGCCTCCGCTTTGGCGGTAAAAAGTGAGGAGCCCCGCCGGACGCTCCCTGGTCCGAGGCGGATTCTTTGAATCCTATTGGCGGAAAGGGCTCTGGGCTCCGCCTCCCCATAGGAAAGTGCGCAATCCTAGAGAGACAGCTCTGCAGCCGTGGCCAGTCAACAAGGCTGAACTCCCTTTTGGCTCCTCCCAGCCGATTTCCGCCCCCGGTCTCGAATCCCCTTTTCTCCAGAGCTTGTGATGGGCTTGGCTTTAACACATTGGCTCTGGTCTCCGCGTTCTTGTCTGTCCCGTTCCGCACGGATCTGGGACGGCGTTGGCAGCCACCCCTGACCACCTCCTCGGTCCTCACTGGTAGGAGATCAGGACAGATTCAGGACTGGGAACTTGAGCTCCCAAGGAGAACCAAACCAAACCTGCCATCTAGTGGATTCCAACTCTTAGCGACCATATAGAACAGAGTAGAACAGCAAGTGTACTACCTCAGCTTTCTCCCACTGGTGGGTTGGAACTACACACCTTTTGGTTAGCAGCCAAATGCTTAACCACTACACCACCAGAGCTCATTTCCCAGGGAGAAGGGGTTGGATAAGTATCAGGGTTGGGGCATTTTCAATGTCCTGCCCAGCCTGGTGACACACGTTGAAGGATGGATGGGCAGTGAGCTGGGTTAGCAATTAAAAACCTCTGTAGTTTCGGAATCAGCAGGGTTCAACTTCCACTCGCATCGCTACCCAGTCATTTCTCTCCAGGCCTGTGTCCTTGGCTGGAAGTGGGAATAATGCGAGGTCCAGCTCCCCTACTTAGTTGTGTGCCTTTGGAACAGCCGTTTCTCTCCTTTAGCTCTTGGGATAGCTAAAGCAAGTTTTGAAGCGCTTAGCACCGCAGGCCCAGGCTGAGCATTCCCTCAGTAGTGCTGGCTCCCACCCCCTGTAGGGTGACAGGCCACTCAGCTCACCTCCCACCTGGCTCAGTCCCACAATGTGTCTAACTAAAAGTTACCACAAGCAGCTCCAAGTTTTCGACTGATCCCTGAGTCCCAACCACAATCTTGGGGCGAATGGTGAAGGAAGCTGACCTTTTACACTTGTCCACCAAGACAAGAATGAGGGGCAAGAATCAAAACCCTTCAAGCATTCCTTTAACTGACTCTATTTCTTCTCCACTCAGCACTGGCTTGATCCCAAGTGAAGCCTGTCACCCCAAACTCCTGCACAGCTGCCCAGCTCTCTCCTGCACAGATCAATTCACCCCCAACTCAGACCCAATGGTGCCAACCCATTGGGTAGGTGTCTGGCACAGCTCAGGGGCCTCAAAGGTTCTTCACACTCAGCCTCAATTCATCCTGCAGCCCCATGCCCCTCTCAGTCCCTGCTCAGGGCTTCCAGGGGGTGGGCATCCTACAGCCTTTAACATTCCCTGAGCTTCCCACCTCCTGGCTTTTGCTCATGTAGCTTCTCCTACCAGGTGTATGAGCCCCATGATCATGTTTCCCAGGATCCTCCCCATCCTTTGTGGCAGGCCCCCCCCCCAGTGTTGCTCCCTTCAGAAGGGCACTCTGTTCCCCTAAAGACTTGACCTCCTTTATCTCAAAGGACATCTTGCAGCTGTGGGAGACTCATGCTGCATCACCTCAGCATCCTCCACCCAGCTTCTCTAGTGTGTGAGTGAGCTCCTTGGCTCTGACCTGTGGCTGGTGGGGCCCACCACAATAACTGATAAAAAACAGGGAAAGAGGGACTAACATGGAGCACCTACTATGTGCTGGGAGCTTTACGTACTATCACATTTAACCCTCACAGTAACCCTATGAGTGGGTGTTATCCCCATTTCACAGATGAAGCTCAGAGAATAAAATGAAGGCCAGAACAGCACCAAAGGCCAAGGCTTTGTCTTCAGACTATGAGGCTCCCCCTACCCAACAGGCCTGGGATACACTGGGCAAGGGGGAGAGGATGTCCTAGTACCCAGGGTGGCCTGGATTCATTTCTGGTCATGTCAAGACAGCCAGTTCAGGCATAGCCCCTGAGGATGGTCAATCCTTGGGCCTATTCCTGGTGTCAGCAAGACATGGCCTTTTTCTGATCTCAGCAAAACAGGGATTCTACTTTCCTAGGTCATATTTTAAGAATTAATGAAAGTACCAAAGAAGATACTCAGAGGCAGCCAACCATCACATGAAGAAATGTTCATGATCGTTTGTTGTTGTTGTTAGGTGCTGTCAAGTCATCTCTAACTCATAACGACCCTGTGTACAACAGAATGAAACAACGCCCAGTCCTGTGCAATCCTTGCTATACCTGAGCCCATCATTGCAGCCACTGTGTCAATCCATCTTCTTGAGGGCCTTCCCCTTTTTTTTGTTGACCCTCCACTTTGTTGTTAGGTGCCATCGAGTCATTTCCGACTCATAGCGACCCTATGCACAGCAGAATGAAACACTGCCGGATCCTGCGCCAGCTCCATGATCCCTGCTATACTTGAGCCCATCATCGCAGCTACTGTGTCAATCCATCTCGTTAAAGGTCTTCCCCTCTTTCATCGACCCTCCACCATACCAAGCATGACATCCTTCTCCAGGGAATGGTCCCTTCTGACAACATGACCAAAATAGGTGACATGAAGTCTGGCCATTCTCACTTCCAAGGAGCATTTCGGGTACACTTCCTCCAGGACAGATCTGTTAGTTCTTTTAGCAGTCCATGGTACTTTCAGCATTCTTTGCCAGCACCACATCTC